CAGTTTGGAGGCTTTAAGTCCAAGTTCAAAGTGCCAGGCTCTAGGGTGGGTGAAAGCCCCTCAACCTTGAGCTTCAACTCTGCCTCCTGCTCCCAGCTCACCAAAGCTAGAGGCTTTTCTTCACTCAGCTGCTGGCTGCTGAGACTGGCAAATCCAAGGTTGACAAGTTATAAGGCACAGTCCCAATCTTACAAAACCACATGGTAGGCCATTAATTCAAGTCCACTGAAAGTCTCAAGGTCGGCAGAGCATGGCAGGCTGCTGAACAACAACTCAACTACCTGCAGAGTTCAAGTGTGCCATAAGCTAGAGAACATTCCCAAAGCTGCTTCTTATATATGGGAAGGAGACCACATCCCTAAGGCAGCTACTCAGCTGCTTGTGGTAGATCCTACCATGGAGTTGATTGCCAGTCTCATCATGGAGAATAACTACCACTAGCTGCCCAGCTACACAATCAGGCCCAGCCAAGTTGACACACAACCTTAACTACCACAGTGGGATATCTGGAAAATTCTGAAAAGGTCTGCAGATTAGATAATAATGTTATCAATGGTAATATCCTGGTTTTTATAACTGTAGTTACTTAAGATGTTAAGACTTAATGAATGTGGGTAAAGGGTATATGGGAACGCTTTGTAGTTATTTTTGTAAATGTTTTAGAAGTTGAAAATTACTTCAAGAGAAGCTTAAAAACAAAACAAAAAAGTAAAAACGCCTCCATGACTGAATAATACACAAAAAACTCTTAAGTGTTCAAAACATTTAGCATTAATATAATTCTCCAAGTTTATTAAGCCTCCTGAGTTCTTAATTATTCAATAAAGGTTTTACAGTGTGCCTATTATGATCCAACATACAGAAAAGGATGGGAAAGAAAAGAAGCAAACAAACAAGGCAGTTAGTCAGTCAGTTATTCACTAACAGATTCCTAACAAAGCTAAGATTGGTTATTTCAAGTATGTTCATGCCCATTTGCCCTTTTATCCTTTCCCTCTTTCTAACTAAGCAGTTTCAAGTCCTACTTAATTCTTGACCCCCACTTTGTGTTCCTGTTCTTAGTACTATTAAAATGCAAGTATTCTAAATACATGGAACAAATCTCAACTATGTGACTTTATTCATAACAATCCTTCTGATCCTTCCCATTTCCTTATTTGTAAAATTAAATTTATAGGTTTGTTGTGAAGATCAGATGGGGATGCATAAAATGAACTGGCACATAGTAGATACTCAAAAACTGTTACATTTCCAAAAAACAGGCATAGGAGTTGAACATTTACCTGAGGTAGGTACAATCCTTGCAGAGAACAATCATGGGAGAAAGAGGGCTGTTTATGCACAGGGAGACAGGTCAGGGGGCAGGGGTGCATGAAGGGATGGACACAGGGAAGAGGTGACTGTCAGCAGGAAGTGGGAGGAGCTGTTGCATTATGGTGAATTTGGTCAATGTCATGAGACAAAGTGTATGTGAACTGCTGTATGGAAAGTGAATTTGCTCTGTAAATTTTCACCCAAATCACAATTAAAAAAAAAAAAAAGTTACATTTCCCTTACAAATTGTATCTCTAACCTCTCTCTGTAGGATTCTAAGTAGTGCACAATTGTTTTACTAATGTCCAGATCAATCTCTGTCCTATTTCCCAAAGAAGGTATTTCATATTTTTTACCTACATATTTTTAAAATTAAATAATGTATTTATTTTATTCATTCTAACAGCTTCAGTATTCATTGAAGATTCAATTAACCAAAGGATATATATTAGCTCCCATCTTTTTTCCAAATATCAGACAAATATATCCAACAGCTTTTCTAAATATTACCTAAATATTATATACCCTGTCAAACTCAAGATCCAGTATCAAGTTCTACGCTGCCATCTATTGTCTATTACCATATCCTCCAGATATTTCCTTCCATTTTGGAATCTTCAAACAGCCTTAAAATGCAAGCCTCAACCTAATGGATATATTTAATTTCCAGAGTCTTGTCCTTCTCGGATGAGATGTCCAAGTGCCTACAAAATGTCCCAGTAGCCACTTTAAACCCAACACAACTAAAGATATATATTTGACAGTTACATTAACTAGTTAAGTCCTCTCTTTCCTATTTTCCATTATAGATGTATGGCTACCTCTGAAAACATAAATGCTTAAGACACGTAGTATAATGGCTAATAGAGAAAAATCAGTTTTCCCAGGCCTAGTTGAATTGTCAAAACGGAAATATTCTTTCTTATTAGTAAGCCAACTAAAAATTTTAAAACTACAAATGGCAAAAACAGTTTTTTAAAAAAATGCTACATGGTCCCATGATTTCCTATTTTTGTATTTTCATCTTGAAAATTTTGAAAAATTAAAAATTAAAATTTTCATATAATATATCCCTCTCATATAGCAATGGAAAACTCTTAATCATTTTATAAGAATATGCTGTACTCAAATTTCAAATATAAAATGGTTTTCCTCCCAATCCTAACCTGAAAAATAAAAAGGTAATTAACAGTTGGTCCTTTGTCTAGTCTATCAAAATTCCTATTAAATGCTTCATTCAATAAATAGCCACAACATACCCCCTCACACATACAGAGTTTAAAATTATGAATTTCAACTTCATTGGTTTAACTCAAAACAAAGTTGTTTAATTTTCTGGTCTCACTTTTTTCAAACCACACTAAATTAAATTCCAAAATACTTTTCACATTAATTCAATGAAAACAGATCATCCTATACAGGGTTTTAAACAACCGTTTTTTCGTGGAAAAAAGATGCTACAAGGGAAGAACATGTAAACACTCTTAAAGTGGCTACATGTTGATGCTCAGATTTTAAAGTAACTTGCCAACAATGGTAAATAGTGGCTCACTGGCTACATTCAGGTGTACAAAGAAAGAGACAGCATGGTTCACAGCCTTCAGATATTAATAATTTAGTCAGGAACAAAGATTTAAACATAGAAAAGAATGAACAAAATAAGATAAAATGACAAATAATTCGTAAAGATATTATTTACCACAAAAGTATGAAGGGTTGAAATATTTGAGGGAAAGACCTTAAAGAAACAGTAAATGCAGAGCTGTACCATTTATAGGAAGGGAGGGACTTAAGCTAGGAATAAGAGCAAGGGAATTTTGAGCTATAGGGACAATGAGTATGGAATGGTGTAGTCCGAAGAATAGTAAAAGCATGACCAGACTAGTTAGCTGACAGGAAATTGTACAGTGGGTTAGCATTAGAAGTGGACTTAACTGTGGAGGGTACTAAGGCTAAAGAATCCAGAAGATGCCTCAACAGCAAAGGGATTAACAATCCAGTTGAAAAATGGGCAGACGACATGAATAGACACTTCACCAAGGAGGATATTCAGGTAGCCAGCTAATACATGAAGAGATGCTCATGATCACTGGCTATCAGAGAGATGCAAATCAAAATAACAGTGAGATACCATCTCACCCCAGCACTCATGGCAAGGTTCAACAAGACAGAAAATAACAAATACTAGTGGGGATGTGGAGAGACTGAGACTCTCATACACTGCTGGTGGGACTGTGAATGATACAACCACTGTGGAAAGCAGTATGGCAATTCCTTAGAAAGCTGGAATTGGAGATACCATTTGACCCTGCAACCCCATTACTAGGTATATATCCTAGAGAGGTGAGAGCCAGGACAGGAAGAGATAATGTGTACACCCATGTTCACTGCAGCACTATTCACAATAGCAAAAATATGGAAACAACCTACGTGCCCATCAACGGAAGAGTGGATGACCAAACTATGGCACATACACACAATGAAATACTATGCAGCACTGAAAAATAATGCAGAGTCTGCAAAACACTGCATAACATGAAAGAACTTGGAAGACATTATGCTGAGTGAAATAAGTCAATCACAAAACAACAAATATAGTATTAGTTCGTTGTTGTGGAGGGTCAAGGAAAGGTTTATATATGGAGGGAAACTTTTTGGTTGCCAGAGGTGGGAGGGGAGGCAAGGCAACACTGAAAAAAAAAAAGAATTCAGAAGATAATGAAAGTCACTGACAAGTGAGTATAGTGTAACATCTCCACATTATTTGGGGAGTAGGAGTTTGGGGAAGGAATTTCACTGAAAAGTAATGTTTAACAAACTGAAAAAAACTGAGATAAAGAAACGAATCCTATCATTTCAGCAGTCTAGAAATAATGCCAAAGATCTGACCTATCGTGATGACAGTGGAAATGAGAAAGAATGAAATTCATTCATTACAAGGTAACAATTAATAGAATGTGGTCAATGATTTGAAATTAGAAGTATAAAAGGGACAAAATAAGGAATCAAAATATTTCCAAGGCTTTAAAACTGGGAACAGAAGTACCATGAACAGAAACATGAAACAGTAAACATTATTAATAGAATGTTTCCAACAAGAGAAATAATGTTTCTAAACCAACTTTTTTTTAATGTTTAGCACACAAAGCAATGAAACAGTAAGACCCTAAGGTACAGTCATTTTCTACAACTATCAACAGCATTCATTTAGAATAAGAAAACATTGGTTTGACACTGCATGCCCAGATAATGTAAAAAAAAAAAAAATCTTATACTAAACTATAAACCACAGTTCATCATTAATCTACATGAACTGGAAACTGCTTGATTCACATCCTTATTATGGCATTTTTTTGTACTACAAATGATTCCCATTACTTGAATTACCATATAATTCATACTTAAAATAAACAGAACAGTTTGAGACCTAGGTAATTATTCTGCCTAGTGAACTATAGTAATAAAGCAATGCATGTTGGGATTTAGATTTCTCAAAAGACTAATCAATAAAATGGAACAGTATAAATTGCAAAAACTAGTTACTATCATACCTTTTATAAATAAATATGGAATCATACCTTTCCCTTTTTCTGTAAACGCTTCAACAAACAAATCCTTTTAAAATCACATTTTTTAAGACTTTAAAATACCACACTAGACCGAAGTTTCACGAGTCTCTTGGTTACCTTTACGTTATCTCTTCTCAAGCAACAGAACAGACAATTTTCATCAAAAGTCCAATCAGAAATGCTTTCAGGTTCACAGTCTGCAAAAATAATAGAAGTAACAAATTAATTGTTGTTGTTGTTGTGTGCCAATGAGTCAGACTCGACTCATAATGACCCCTCCTTGGGTTTCCCAGGCATCACTTACGGAAGTAGATTGCCTAATCTTCCTTCCGAGGAGTGGCTGGTGGGTTTGAACCATCAGCCTTCTGGTTAGCAGTCAAGTGCCTTAAGCACTACGCTACCAGAGCTCCTAACAAATTAATAGTTACATATATTAAAAAAATATATATAACAAATTAATAGTTATAATTTTTTTTCAGAAAATAAGTCAAAACTAACTTAAAAAAATATTTCTTTTAAAAAAAGTATACTAAGTAATAGATTTCATATTTAGAATTCTTAGTTATGTATGTGCTCACTAGTGAATACAAATCAACTAAACACAAAATGATGCTTACACAAACGTAACTTAAACCCACATGAAACTGGAAATACAAGGACACTGAGACTTAAATCATCGATAATTATACAGGTAGTCCCAGACTTTCAACTTATTAAAGTTATGATGAACCAGCTCTTGTGACTGTTTTCCTTTTTCTGGTACATCATGAATGACATGTACTACATACAACATTGCAGTGCAGTATATGCTGATGTTCATTTGTAGATGTTCAATATTATGCTTTATAAATATAGTGACAATAAGAGGCAATAATAACGACAACTAAAAAAAAAAAGAAGTACTTGACTTAGGTCAGAACTGACTTACAATGGAGTCATAGCAACGTTAATCCTAATGGAACCCCATTTAAGTTAGGGACTACCTGCATTACCAGGAAGAATTTGAAACACCAAGAAGAATTTGAAATGCCCACAAGAATCTGAATACCTTTAAATAAACTGAGATCTTTTAATAATCCAGGTCCAAACAGCCCTTCAAAAATACTTTCAAATCCTGAAAGGATAAAAAAAAAATCCATTATCATAACATACACATTATACTAACTTAATATTAATCTGCTGCATGAGAAAATGATGTCATTTTCTTCCAGTACTTAAGGATCCCTGGATTACTGTTAAGGGATGCTGAGAAAAGATTACCAAAGACAAATTTAAAAGGAATATTTGCATTTTTGTCAATGATTAACTTTTTTTTTGGTCAATGATTTAACTTTCAACACAAATTCTGAGCACATAAAAAAACAAGACAAAACAGGTACCACTCGTAACCAGTGAAGTAGTAAAAATTCATAAGTTCTCTCACTATCTTACAAAACCCTAAATACTTTATTACATAAACTCACAAACTGAATTTTAAATGGTACCTTCTCCAATGAAGGGAGCTCTGGTGGACTAGTGACTCAGGTTAAACAGAAGAAGGTTGGTGGTTCAAACCCACTAGCCACTCCTTGGAAGGAAGACAGGGCAATCTATTTCCATGGAGACACAGCCTCAGAAACCCAAGGACGGATCACTACGAGTCAAATCTACTCGATGGCAATGAGTTTGGCTTTTTGTTTGTTTTTTTCCAATGAAAAGCATCAAAGTACCTCAAAATTCCCAGGACTTTCTGGGTTAATGTAAACAACATTTTTCTAAACATCAACCGAATCATATTGATTTTTCAAGCTATGTTTCTTGAAGGAAAATCTTCACCAAAAAAAGAGATTCAATACCACTAAAGAAAAAAAAGCCACAACATAATCATATGTTGAAAGAAAAGAAGTTTTTAATTATTTCACAGTGCTATGGCTATAACACTACTTTTATGATGAAAAAAAAACCATGAGTTACACATACCCCCCCAAAAAAAAATTACGAGGAAAAAATCAAATATACCTCTATATAAATGTTTACATCACTATCACCTTATAAGTGTTAATAAACTAGAAAATCAATGTCTCCCCCCAAAAAAAAAACTTTTAAACTTATTACCTCAAATACTGATTAACTACTTACCAAAAAGCAAAATATTTAAAGATATTATTTAAAATAAATATCTTGCTGTGTTCTATGGATTATTGAGAGAGTAAGGAGGAAAAAAAGAAAGGGGACCAAATGAACCTTTGAACTACTTAGAACCACTTGTCTGTCAGTCTACTGTAATATGAAGGCTTGCATGTTGCTGTGAGGCTGGAGGCTATGTCACTAGTATTTCAAATACCAGCAGGGTCACCCATGGTGGACAGGTTTCAGCAGAGCTTCCAGACTAAGACAGACTGAGAAGAAGGATGGGGCAATCTACTTCTGAAAAACCAGCCCAGTAAAAATACGAATAGTGGCAGAACACTGAATGATACAGTGCCGGAAAGCCCCTCAGGCTGGAAAACCAAAAAACGAAACCCACAGTCATTGAGCCGATTCTGACACACAGCAATCTACAGGACAGAGCAGAACTGCCCCACAGGGTTTCCAAGGCTGTAAATCTTTAAGGAAGCAGATTGACTCATCTTTCTCCTGCAGAGTGGCTGGTAAGTTCGAACCACCAACCTTCTGGTTGGCAGATGAATGTTTTAACCACTGGACTAACATAGCTCCTTTCAGGTTGGAAGGCACACAAAATACAACTTGGGAAGAGTTGCCTTCTCAAAGTGGAGTTGATCTTAGTGACATGGATAGAGTAAAGCTTTTGGAACCTTCATTTACTGAGGTGTCATGACTCACAATGAGAAGAAACAGCTGCAAATATCCATTAATCATCACAATGTGGAATGTACAGGTTATGAAAAAAAAAAAAAAAAAAAACCACTCAGAAAGGGATCAAAATGGGAGATCCTGTATAGAGTGGGAGAAAAATGCAGAACAAAATTCAAAAACATAACAAGGATTACTGATCAGACAGAAACTGGTGAGACCCCTGAGACTATGGCCCCTGGTCACCCTTTGGGCCTGGAACTGAACTCACTCTAGTGGCTTCAGCCAAACAATATATAGTTCTACTAGATGAACAATCAACCATGAGAGATCAGAAGGGCAGCATTTACGTAGGACAGGAAGAGAGCTCAAAGGACAAGAATGTGTAGGAAAGAAGGATGCAGGAAAAAGGTAACCACAGGAAGGAAGAGGGAAGAGAGCTGTTACACTGTGGAATTGACACAATGTCACCAAACAAAATGTGTATGAACTGTTGAACGGAAAAATGAATTTGCTCTGTAAATTTTCACCCAAATCACAATTTAAAAAATAAAATAAGCAAGCAAAGGCTCACTAAAAGGACAGAAAACAAAGAAAAGACCAAAATGAGTATGAGAAAAGATTCTCAAACTTGCTCTTGAATGTAGAGTAGCTAAAGCAAAAGGAAGAAATGTTGAAGTAAAAGAACTGAATAGAAGATTTCCAACAGTGGTCAAAAAGACAAAGTGAAGAATTACAATAAAATGTGCAAAGACCAGGAGTTGGAAAAAACCATGCTCCACATTTCTCAAAAAAAAAAAAAAAAAAATTGAAGAAAATATTTGAGCCTCGAATTTCAATACTGAAGGATTGATTCTATGGGCAAACAAGGTAAAGGGATAGAGAGCCCCTACGCAGGAAGGGGGAAGCCAGAGCTGGAGGCCGGATACAGGTAAAGGAGAGAAAGCCACCAGGCAGGAAGTGGGAGCCAGGGCAGACAGCTAGAACAGGTAGGCAGAAGGCCAGCAAGTAAGCAGAGTGTTTTGGAACAGCTAAGGGAGACGCACTTGTCTGTCAGTTTGTCATACTGTGGTGGCGTGCATGTTGCCGTGAGGCTGGAGGAGGCTGTGCCACCGGCATTTCAAATACCAGCGGGGTTGCCATGGTGAACGGATTTCAGCAGAGTTTCCAGACTGAGACAGGCTCGGAAGAAGAGATCATCCATTTCTCAAAGAATTGACCAAGGAAAACCTTATGAACAGCAGTGGAACACTGATACATTACTGGACAACTTTATGAATAGTCCTGAAACACTCTGATACAGTGCCGGAAGATGAGCTCCTCAGGTTGGAAGGCACTCAAAATACCACTGGGATGGAGCTGACTCATCAGAGTAGAACTGATGTTAATGATATGAATAAAGGGGAGCTTTTGGGACCTCCATTTGCTGATGTGGCATGACTCAAAATGAGAAGAAACAGCTGCAAAGATGTATTAATAATCGAAACATGGAGTGTATGAAGAATGAATGTGGGAAAATTGGAAGTTGTAAAAAATGAAACAGAATGCTTAAAGATCAATATCCTAGGCATTAGTGAGCTGAAATGGACCGGTTTTGGCTATTTTGAATCAGACAACCGTATGATGCCAGGAATGACAATTTGAAGAGGAATGGCGTGGCATTCATCATTACAAAGGATGTTTCAAGATCTATCCTGAAGTACAATGCTGCCAGTGATAGGATAATATCCACATGCCTACAAGGAAGGCCAGTTAATATTACTATTGTTCAAATTTATGCACTGACCACCAAAGCCAAAGATGAGGAAATTGAACATTTTTACCAACTTCTGCAGTCTGAAACTGACCAAACACGCAATCAAGATGTGCTGATTATCACTGTTGACTAGAATGCAAAAGTTGGAAACAAAGAAAAATCACTGGTAGTTAGAAAATATGGCCTTGGTGATAGAAATGACGCTGGAGATCGCATGATAGAATTTTGCAACACCAACAACTTATTCATTGTAAATACCTTTTTTCAACAACACAAACGGCAGCTATACATGTGGACTCTGCCAGATGGAGTACACAGGAATCAGACTGACTACATCTGTGGCAACAAATGATGGAAAAGCTCAGTATCTTCAACCAAAACAAGGCCAGGAGCTGACTGTGGAACAGACCATCAACTGTTGATTTGCAAGTTGAAGTTGAAGTTGAAGACAATTAAAACAAGTCCACAAGAGCCAAAATACGAATTTGATATATCCTTCCTGAATTTAGAGAGCATCTAAAGAACAGATTTGATGCAGTGAACACCAATGACCAAAAGTCAGATGAATTGTGGGATGACAAAGAACATCACCCATAAAGAAAGCAAAAGGTCATTAAAAAGACAGGAAAGGAAGTAAAGACCAAAATGGATGTCAGAAGAGACTCTGAAACTTGCCCTTGAGCAGAGAGTACCTAAAGTGGATGGAAGAAATGACAGGATAAAAGAGCTGAACAGAAAATTTCAAAGAGCAGCTTGAGAAGTGTTCTATAAATTCTAGAGATAAGTCCCTTGTCAGATATGTTATTACCAAATATTTTTTCCCAATCTGTAGGTTCTCTTTTGACTCTTTTGGAGAAGTCTTTGGAAGCACATAAACATTTAATTTTTAGAAGGTCCCAATCATCTGGCTTCTCTTCAGAGCAGCTTGAGAAGACAAAGTCAATTATTATATTGAAATGTGCAGAGACCTGGAGTTAGAAAACCAAAAGGGATGAATATGCTCGGCATTTCTCAAGCTGAAAGAACTAGAGAAAAACCTTAAGCCTCAAGTTGCAATACTGAAAGATTCTATGGGTAAAATATTGAATGACACAGGAAATATCAAAAGAAGATGGAAGGAAAGCACAGAGTCGCTGTACCAAAAAGAATTGGTGAAAATTCATCCATTTCAGGAGGTAGCATATGACCAAGAACCAGCGGTACTGAAGGAAGATGTTGAAGCTGCACTGAAGGAAGTGGTGAAAAACAAGGCTCCAGGAACTGACGGAATACCCATTGAGATGTTTCAACAAACGGATGCCCTGCTGGAGGCACTCACTTAACTATGCCAAGAGATCTGGAAGACAGCTACCTGGCCAACTGACTGGAAAAGATCCATATTTGTACCCATTCCAAAGAAATGTGATCCCACAGAATGTGGAAATTATCAAATAATATCATTAATATTGCACACAAGTAAAATCTTACTGATGATAATTCAAAAATGGTTGCAGCAGTATACTGACAGAGAACTTCCAGAAATGCAAGCTGGATTCAGAAGAGGATGTGGAACTAGGGCTATCAAT